AAATGCCCCAACCCTCTCAAAACACTCACCCCTTGCCTGTAAAAATGTCCCTGGGAACAGTCACACACAGAAGCAGGTAGTGGCATGAATCAAAATAAAATGGTGACTGTCGTATCTGAAAAATATTCCCCATATGAAAGGTAGTAGTTAGTGATTTTAAAGGAATATCCAGATATTTAGGTTTACTTACAGCATGGGAATAAAAACGTTAATCATTCTGAACTTATACTTACAAAAATCCAGCTTAGGGTTAATCCTTCAAATCCCTGATAACAGTATTATTCCAAGTAAACATCATCAAATTAGGCTGATTTTAATCTTCCCAGACCCCGATCAAAAATGGAACATAACCATAACAAGCTATATGACCACCAAAAATGGTAGTAATAATATTACTGGTATTTATATAAGTGATATTCATTACATAGTAATGGCATTCCCTACATTTCATACTTATTCCCTGTGTCAATCACAATAATCTTAATTTTATAATAGCATCATGACAATTCACACTAATCACAATGTAATGCCTTCCAATTGAAGCTGTAAAGGAACATTTAGGATATTTGAATGTTATTATAACTTAGTCAGTAAGATGCCAATGATAAAAAAAAAAAATCCTAACTTCAGAACTTACATGAACAGCAATTTTGAACATACTGTAGATAATTATCAGATAAGAACTTAATTAGCTCACAAAGACTTAGCATTATTGACCACATAGGGGGGAAAAAAAACACTGAACCCTTGAGAATATTAATTATACTGGTATAAAAATATGTTTTACATCGGTAAAAATTCCATTTTAATGCTATAGGAATAAGCACTAAGCATTCAAACATGCTCTCTCTTGTGTACATCATCTCTTCCCTTTGTCACTTCACGGTGACCCCCCAAAATTCCAAATTACCTGGGGAGTAGAATTTTAAGTAGTAGAACAAGAGAAGTTTGTTAGAAAAAAATACTGATTTACAAATGTTTATAAACTTACAGAGAAAAGAAGGAAAACTCTATAAACTCAGTATTGGAAAAATACAACAGTCTGAGTGAATTTGCTGTGTCAAGAGCACAAAGAGAAATACATAATTTCATTTTTTCTGAGGCAATTGAGTGAGATAATAGATAAATCCTGTCAGGATGAATCTGACTGCATTGCAGTAAATGATAAAGTAGGTGTCCAATATTTTCATTATACAGGCTGGCACATTTGCAATATAACTAAAAATATCAGATATAATTTATATTCAAATCAATGCTTTTTAAAAAAATATTTTAATGCTTCTGATTACAAAGTATATTGAGTTCAAAAGAAAAACAAACCACAAATCACCATCAAACATCACCACCTCAAACAAATCACCATCACACATTTGAGAGCTTTTCTCTGTCTCTCTCTCTGCTAGTGTCAGGTATGTTATTGCAGGGCCTAGTGGTGCTTCTGTATTGAAGGTTTTGGCAGGCTTCCTCATCTTTGTTTATGAATTTATTAACATATTGAACAATATGCTTTTGCTCTGAACTTTGTAGAAAGGAAAAGAAGCTCTTTCCTAGGGGAGTATTTATTGACCTAAAATCAAACCAAATGGAAGCATCATATAAAAGCATCTTCAAAAACCATGTTAAAGACAAATATTTTTGTAATACAAAAGGAAGATAAGTAACACAATTACATGATAATATGGTTCAATCTCTTTAGTAATTTGCTTTTAATAAAGAATATTATGTTAGCAAGAGAGCTGGACTGATTGTTCTGCACAGTAGATGTCTTTTAGTCATCCATAATGCAATGTGCTAATTCACTAGAAGTTGCTGGGTAGCAGGTCATTGTGCATACCTTTGATGTGCAAATTCATGCTAAATGCTTTGAAAAACTAAGGCATAAAGTCCATACTGCATCCACAGCACTATAACATCCTATCCTTTGGTGCTTTATCTGAATGCTGCCTTACAGAGAACTCTACCAAGAACTGGACAAAGTGGTGCTCATTCTTCAGTGTGAAAAGCAAGTTTTTAGCAAATTGATAAGCTAAAAATAGTACTCATCATTCTTACTTACATTATGTGCTTGTTGCCACACTGTTCTTAAAAATGCACGCTATTCCTTTTATCTAGTTTGTAAGCCACATTTCAACCAATGTGAAACAGACTTTTGAACTTCCAAAGGTTTCACAATCCTACAAATGTTACAAATATCTAATTTTTAAACTTAATAATCTTAAGTAATTCAGTAAGGCATTACTAAATAATTGCTAAATAAAAAAATTCTATTCTGTTAGGACAGTAACTCAAGGTTGTGAAAGCTAAACACTGGAATGGATGGGTGAAAGAACTTCTTATGGTCAACAAGCCCAAAAAAAGTCCTGTAAAGGATGCAATTCCTCAGGATATAAATGAGGTTTCATCTCAGACTTACTGGTTTTGCATCTACTACTATTCACGTATATTAAGCTTTACCTCAGTTGTTAATGAACCAGGGAAGCTGTTATGCTATGAAGCTTCTCTTCTAAGTTTGCCTCTTTGAAAAGCAGTCTAAAAAATTATTTCCACAATATATGTGTTAACAGCCAATGGAGGGCACAAGGGTATGCCTGTGGCCTATCCTCCTTGCCTCTTAAGAGTAAGCAATTTTCACAGGAGATGAGACTCGCTCTGTTTTCTGCAGTTCACCTCAGACCTCTACAACACCCCCTGTCGTTGCTCATTCCTTGGGGAAATCTACTCCATAAACGCAGCTCTGAGGTGACCAACACCTTGGTTTTCCTTTTTCTCGAGGTAGGTGCCAATGACCCAAACAAAAAACTGCACCCATTGCTTCCATTTCACTACACATATAGAATCTGAACATCTCGAGAAGCTACTTTCAGGTGCCCATGATAGAAGCTGACAAGAGGCCTCAAACAGTTTCTCACAGGCAAAAGGACATCTTTTGCCAAAAAGTGCACACAAGTAAAGAGAAAGATTAAGGCTACTCAAGGTCTGCAGATTTGACTTTTAGGTTTATCTTGGTGCTTCTTAGAGAATCCAGTTACCTATTTGGAAGCAACATCTAACCCTCTGTGCGATGGTATAAACTGGCAGGCAGCTAAAAACCACACAGCTGCTTGCTCACTATCTCCCAGTGAGATGGGGGAGAGGATCAGAAAAAAGATAAGACTCGTGGGTTGAGATAGGTACAGTTTAATACTATAGAAAAGGAAGGCAAAATAATAATAATGGTAAAAGAATATATAAAATAAATTACGCACAATGCAGTTGCTCAGCACCCGCTGACCAATGCCCAGTCAGTCCCCAAGCAGCGAGCCACCACGTCCCAGTAAACTCCCCCCAGATTTTTTGTTGAGCATGACACCATATGGTCTGGAATATCCCTTTGGCCAGCTATGGTCATCTATCTCAGTTGTGTCCCCTACTAACTTCTCATGCATCCCCAACCTCCTTGGTGGTGTGAGAAATTGAAAAGTCGTTAACTTAGTGTACTGTTGAGCACTGCTCAGCAACAACTAAAACATCAGTGTGTTATAAAGATTATTCTGCTTCTAAATAAAAAATGTAGCACTGTACCACCTACTAGAAAGAAAACTAACTCTATCTCAGTTGAAACCAGACCACTAGCCAAAAGAGAAAAGCTTACTTCCTACACTTTTTTCTCCTAAACTTTCCAAGATAATATGTCTGTTGTTGCTCTCTTCCCTCACTTTTTCTCTCTAGGCAGGAATTTTTAATGTCTTAAATGTTTTTTCTCTCTTAGACTCTGGCCTGCAAAACACAGGCTTGTTAACTGAGATGGCCACAGGAACATCAATATTTTCTGGTGACAGGTTCATTTTTAATGTAAGGAGCCTCAATATACTTTTCAGAGATAAAGAGTATATCCTTCATTGTTTTCTTCAATGCCTATTCTTCCCTTGAATCCTCATCTGATTCCATTATCAAGCAACCAGAATAATACCAAACAGGTAATCTAATGCAAATATCATACTTGAAAAAAATAACATTGCTTCCCCACAGCCACATATAAAAATTCCTTTTCCAAAGCATCTGTGTTTGATTTCTGGTGGTGCCTTTTCATCTTCCTCTTCTTTTTTTTTCTTAAGCATTTTTTCATAAACAGGGAAGAGTTCATAACTATGTTTAAGTGACAACAGATCAAACAATTTACCAATGCTACTATATCATTGAAGGGTTACTTAGAAAGAAGTGGCATCAACATACTGTATCTTGTGTTTAAAATCTGTTTTAGTCACATTTCCTGCTGATAGTTGCTCTTTTTACCATCCAGTATTTACATTGCTGAATGACAGAAGTCCAGTTTTGCTACTGTGGGAGACCAATCATTCCTATAAAAACTGAAGTGAGACTTTCTATTTTTCAGCAGCAGGTAGCACTTTAGCCCATAGATTCACAGGAAAAAATATGACTGAAAAGATCCTAGGGTATGTCAGTACAAACACACAATTCAATTTTGAGAGATGTGGAGTTCTCTCTATACCTTCTAACTCATAGATAGATTTGAATAGATTTGAATATCTATTTCATCACTCTTCCTCCTGTTTGTCAGCTAGGATACCAAAATCAGCCAGAATTCAGAGGGCTTTACACATTCTGAGTTTGTTCCTACTAGATACATTTTAATTACATAGAGAGTGGGACAGTGGCACTGTCACATCATTGACACTCATGAAGAGAAATCTTGAGGAAGACCTGGAAGACGAGGAACTTATTTTGAAGATTCAGAACTGAATGATGGCATATGATGATATATTAATGAAATTAATAAGAAGGTAAATGGACATTTTACTGTGAGATTCATAAGCAGGAAGGCATAACACTAGAGCTCCTAAACTACTATGCAAAACCATAGGAAACCAGTAGTTCAGAGGTTCAGTACTTCACATTCACAGTAGCAAATGCACAGGTTGAGAGAAGACAATTAAGTTTTTATTCTTAACGCTCTTGGAGGAAGTAGAAAAATTGCCTGAGGGTCAGAAGTGCCTGTTCCGACATTCTTCTGTCTGATGTTCTCTATACAGTTACTTGCAATGCATTCCTTTTCCAAACAGGCTTTTATCACAATCACCTTGTCTAGTTTACTCCTAATGAAAAATTTAAGAGATACGCATTACTTCATCTTTTCTCAGTTAGGTGACCTGATTAGGAGGGGGGAACCTCAGTGATTACTTAACTCTCATGCTGTTCTGTTATCCATCAATGCCTACATTTATTTCAATACAGATCAAGTTGAGGAATTTTTTTTCACAGAAAAGTAAAATGGATATAAAATAAATCAAGATACATAAATCTTAGATCAGAATTCATTCCATATGAACTGCTGGATGATATGTCTGAGTTAAGAAGAAGAAGTCATCAAACTTTTTTGGTCTAATAGGTTTATGTTCCAACTCCTATTCTCTAAGAAAAGTGGATGTATTCAGCCATTTCATGTAACAGCAGGTGGTGTGATACTTGCCTCAAGGACTAACATGCTACGTCAAATGCATTATGGTAGTTCAAATGCAAAATACAGTTTGCTGAAGGTCCCACTTCAGAATGATACAAAGTTAAAATATCTATCTTATAATTTTTTAGTAATTTTCTCTAAATGCAAGAATCTTCTTGTAATGTGTTTCATTGAAACAATTTGAGACTCAGTTAGAATATGCCTAACTGATGACAACCTAAACTTAAACTCCAGGCATATTTTAGAGTGGGAAATATGAACTAGTTCTTGCAGAATTTATTTGCTGTCAATTCACTATTTATTCAGAGAAAAATGGATTGATAAGCTATTTGATTGTTTTCATTTGAGTCTGTCCTTGTTTGGCATAACCATTAACAGCATTTAACAAATCCTTGTTTCAGAAAGGATGTATGACTTCTATTTGAGGCTACAACAATACTAGGAAGTTATAATGGACACATGTACAGTCCTAAAATGTTATAACCACTACAGAGTAAAGCTAATATGTATAGTTAAATATAATATCATATCCTCATTTAGTCCCTCCCCACAAGTACTCAAAAATACACCATTTGTAAAAGACTTCGCTAATATTTTAAGACAAAAAAATCAAAAAGAATCTAATTAGTTACAGCCAACATCACTAATCAGAAATTACTAGGAAAGACATAGTTTGCATATCTATACCATTAACCCATTTCCAGACTATGTAAGAATATTTGATATCTCTGAACAATGGAGATCACTAATTTAAATCAGTTTAAAATAATGGGCACTACATTTGAGGATCTAACAATGGCCTTTTTTGAGATGTTCATATCATAGTCTTGTGCATGAAAGGAAATGCCATCTACCATTTACCCTCTGCAGAGATGAGTCTTCAGAAAGCAGATACCACACACTCTAGAGGAATTCAGGTCAATCTCTTGCTCAACCACTTATCTCCTGAAGGACCTGAAGTAAATGCCAATGTCTTTGCACTTCATTTAAGCCATCAAAGAGAAAATTAGGTGTATAGGATGCTGAAGCATAAAATCATTGAAGACTGAGATTTTCAGAAACTAGAACAATTAACAACAAGTTTTTCAGACCAGCATGGAGAGCATATTCCCATCTCTTCACAGAACAACATATTACAATAATGTGATTGTCCTGGAGTCCTTGGCTATTTTTGTCATTGTATTTAGGAAAAAAAGGGAGAGTAAATCTATCAAAAGGCAGAACACAGTTTATTGCTTGAATTTATGTGTTCATGCCAAACTCACATTGTGATAAATTTAAATTTTCTATGTGTGGATACTTAAAAAAGGAGGGTGTATGCATTGCCCACTTCAGTGGTTTCTATTTCCTACCCCTGTGAATTAATCTTTAAGTAATCCAATAAAAACCCCCTATCTTTTAGCACATTACAAACACAGCAGCCCTTCACATTGTCAGAAGGGAATACTCCATCAGTGATTAGGATAACACATCTTGATTTTACTACTGGAGGAAAATAACAAGAATGCATACCCATACCAATATGTAGAAGCCAAACCTCCTGAATCTTAATAATAATAATGTTTTTAAACTCCAGCAAAAAAAAGTTAATCAAAGAAATTTAATTTCAAACAAAGTCAAAAGAAGACATCATTTTGCAGCAGATGTTTTGGCAAGCAGAATGCAGACCAAATTCTAAGCTCTAATTGTGAGCTTCTCCCTCACAGTGTGAATTTTCCAAATTGAAAGTCTCACTGTCTAATTGAAGCGCTCAACCAGCATATGTTCTGCTCAAGAAACTGTGTGAAGTTTGAAATACTGTATATAAGCAGTGTTACCTTCTTTTGCTTTCAAGGCATCAAACCCTTGGAAATACTATTCCCTAATTTAATGCTGAAATGTAACTTCAATTACTAAGAAGCAGCCTCCTCGTGATGAAAAGACAATTTTTAAATATCCAGCAGGGAATGACGTCACAGCTTAACACAAACCACAGATTTTCATCCCTACTATATTGCTTCTCATGTTCTATCACCATACAGAGACACTAATAGGTTTTGAAGAGTTTCCATCACTAAGCCACTCATACTTCCAAGTCTGGACAGAATCAAATGAGTGTTTCTACATTTCAAGCCCTAAGATTCATAACTTTATCTGAGAGTCATCCTTTGGACTGGAGGTAGTATAGTCTGTGACAGTTTAACTCATATGTTTGACATCTTTCTTTACCCCTACTCTTTATCATTTCACATTCATTTAAAAAAATTTAGCAGAGATGAACCAAGACTACGAGCACTGGAAATCATATTTTAGCTCTCTGAAGTAAAATAGTAATAATGCAATGATCACAAACTTAGGAAAAGCACGTCTTAAGCAGATCTTAGAACATCACAATATATCTTTCACATACCTTCTTCACTTCTAATCTCTTTGTTTGATTCCTGTATTCCAGCAAGAGCTGAAGGTGGAAGGGGGGAGGGAAGGGGAGGCAGAGAGGGAGGGGGCACTTGAAGCTTTTTAATCTAACAGTATATTACCTCTCCCTATTAAAATTGTATTGCTTGAGCTGCAATATTCAGCATTTCAAGTTGGACAAAATTCTTCTGATTTGGTTTCTTCATTCCTTTCATGGTTTCTTATCTCCTCTAAACACAACACTCAGTCTCTGCTTTGTTGTAAGGCCTTTAGAATTCACAAGATGATTTAGTTTGAGAAAACTTTTCTGGATATCATCTGCTCCACCTCCCTTGTTCTCAATGCAGTGCTAACCAGCAACCTTGTTCAGGTTCTCACACGTGGTTTTGCCCAGTGAAGTTTTGAGTATCTCCTGGAATGGAGAGTCCACAGCTTCCCTGGGAAAATCAGTATGGTGCTTGACCTCACTTACTGTGAAAAATATTTTCTGAAGTTATAACTGGAATTTCTTGTGTCGGTTGGCTACCTCAAGTATAGCATTTTAAGACAGCACAGTTGGTACAGAATTTTTTGGAGATAAATGCCTCCTGTAAATGATTAATGCCATCCCAATTAAGCATCTGGGATAGGATCAGTTGTTTCTGTGGCTACCCATCTTTCCACATTACTCTGGAAAGAGCTGAATGGTTGGTTCAGATTGGACATTTTGCTTTTAGACACCAATTTAGGTCAGATACCTGTCATTCACTCTAACTTAAATTTCTGCAAGAAATGTCATACAGTGATTTGGTCATATCTGTCAAGCATGTAGAGATGAAAGAACCAAACCAGGCCTTTTTTTGTCTTTATACAGGAATGGTCTCGAGTTAAATACCTCAGACCTTACAAAAATATTTAAATATATTAATTTGAAGCACAGAGCTTTTATGTGGTATTATCATTTTGGTAAATAATTTTAGTTAATAACTGTAAATTTCTAAATGAAAATAAAGAAAATTTTGGTAATTTATTTCAATGTTATTTTCCCACTCTGTCTATTCTTTCCAAGTAAATGCCAGACAGGCATATGGCAGTCTGATTGCTTGTTCTTTCTACCATTAAGTTTAATGAGGTCTACCACCTTACTTTTTAAATCATTACATGAGTATGTATTTGAGGTGTAATACACTATTGGGTTAAGCTATCTGTCTTCATAGATCAGATATACTAATCTGCTTCTCTGTTTAATTCAGTTCCTTAATATTGATTAGAAGGCCAAATCTGAATATTTAAAATAGTTCATTTAACCATTTGTCTAAGGAGGAACCAGTGATCACAAGAGAAGTCAGATATGAATACTAAGTTAAGAAAATCTCAGTGTAATAGAGGTGGAAGGTATAGGGAAGGAGAACTATTCAACATCGCTAGAAAGACCTGTAGATTGCTTCAGTAAATCAATTCCAGAGAAATGATATAAAAACCTAAAAAGGTTATTTTTATGTGCTTATGTAGAGATGGACCTGTGAGACTGTGCAAGTACAGATCAAAGAACAACAGTAGGATTTACCTCTAATTTTAATTTTTTTTTAAATCTGGATAAAGAAATGAAAACATGCTTTTAGGCGTTAAGACATACTTTCACCTTAAGCATAACTGTGACAGATGTTCACATGAAAACAGAAATTAGGTGATGATAGCAAGCAGTCATCACTGTCAAGCCCTGATTACCCAACGCTGTTAAACATTTTTTAGCACTTGGCGGGAAAAGGGCAGGGAGTAGTTACTCATATGCACATAGGATAGAGGCATAAAAACTTTTATAGGGCAGATATCTGTAAACCTTTATCACTCGTCAGGTACATTATGTTTCCAAGCCTTCTGTGAATATTTGTCTTGGTTTCAAAACACCAACCAGAGCATGAAAACAGAGCCTTGAGGGCATGAATGCACTATCACTCCCTGTTACAGAAATGTGAAGCAAATCAGAGCACTAAAAGGGAGAAATTACTTTCCTGAAGTAAGAAGAAGCTCAGCTAGACCCTAGGAATTGTCATTAGCTAATGGGGAAGAGCAATCTGCAGAACTAGTCATGAACCATTTTACTGAAGTTACTGATCTCTGACAACCTGCCTACGTTGTTCACACCAAAGGGTGCAGCAGCATGCTGGACTTGCTCCAGATGAGGGACTCAACTGAACATTAAACAAGTGGCCAATAGCTACAGACCTTCTCAGTAATCTCTTTAGAATGACAATATAAGAA